CACCACTGAGCTAAATCCCAGCCCTTGGTTTCCTTTTAATTAATGAAACAAATAAAACAATGTACATACCATCTCAATGCAAGAGTCAAATAATACATGCAAAAGTAAGACGTGGTAGCACACACCTATAATCCCACACTCTGGGAGGCTGAAGCAGGAGGATCTGAAGTTTGAGCCCAGCCTTGCTAACTCAGAGATTGAGCAAAATCCTGGGCTCCAGTTCCATGTTGGGGTGGTGGGGAGGTGAACGCCAGCTGCAGCACCTTCTCCGAGGTCTGGGTGTGGATAGCCAGAAGCCGGCCCTTCCGGGACACTCTCTGCAGCCTGCTTGCTTCTGGTATATTCTGAGAGTGGCCAACGTCTCCTGTTCTACCTCTTCCCAAATATTGTTCTTCCCCAGGTGGTGGCACCTGTGTCCTCCAGCCTAGGCAGCCCCTCAGTCCTTATCCGAGGTCCACAGCACAGCTGCAGAGGAGGCTGGGGTGCGTCCCCCGGGGGTTCTCCTGTTGAGTCGGCAGTAGGGTGAATGGGAACCCACTGCAGTGCTCACAGGTGGGTTGCCGGGGGTGACTGGATTTGGACAATACTCATTGGAAGAGGGAGCAACACACCCCACACCTGTAATCCCATAGTTTCTAGCTACTTGCCAGGTAGCCCTGTGCCACTCAGATCTGGCAGTAAGATCCCCTCCAAGGTGCAGCCCCCTGAAGCTGCCCTACAAAACTGCAAGCCAAAGCAAACCTGACTTGTGTTGCCTTGTGAGTTACCTAATCTTGTAATAGTGTGTGTGTGTGTGTGTGTGTGTGTGTGTGTGTAGAACACCATAGCACTAGCGATTGTACCCACAGCTACTCTACCACCACAGACAACCCCTAGCCCTTTTTATTTTTTATTTTAAGACAGGGTCTTGCTAAGTTTCTAAGGTACCTAGGCTGGGTTCGAACTTGTGTTGTGATCCTCCTGCCTCAGCCTCCCTCAGTGCTGGGATTATATGCCTGAACCACTGTGTCCAGCACTCAAAGGCAGTATTGACTGCCCTTGGCACCCAATCTGGGATCTGTGCTTCCGGAGCCCTTAGTCTCTCTGTAAAGTCCGGTCCCTTGGTCCCGCATGCTGGAGACGTGGGAGAAAGGGGCTTTTGCTGTTCCAGACCCCCCACGCCATGGATGCCAGACCCGACCCAAGCCCTGTCAGACACCAGCGGAGGCCCTGAGTGACTCACCCGGTTGGCCCGGCCAGTCCCAGAGCCCGAGGCCGTGACGCTGCCATGGTCTCAGGCACTGATGTGCAGGTAACTATGTGCACCGTCCATGCTTCTGTGCACATCTGGCCTGCTGTCGCCCGCTGCTCAGACACGCCACCCCCGGAGCCCTCGGCCTCCCCTCAGCTACTCCAGGTCAGCGCCCAGACTGCTGCCTCGCACAGCTGCTTGGAACTCAGAGCCCACTGTGCAAAGCCAGGGAAAGAAGCCACAGGCAAAGGAAGCAGAGACCTGTCCACACCTGGCCCTTCCAGCCCCTCAAATTCAAGGGCAGCCTAGCAGTACTCACCTCCTGGGGGCCACAGACAGGCTGCAGCACTGACTGCTTGTTTTATTTTTTTTGTTTGTTTGTTTGCAGCCAAAGGGGGATTCAATCCAGAGCTTCCTATTACTGGGCAAGCACTCTGGTGCTGAGCTTCCTTCCTTCTTGTTGCTGCTGCTTTTTTTTTTTTTTTTTTTTTTTT